CTGCAATCTGATTGGCTAACGTACTCACTATCTATCCTGTGATAGATAGCAAGTATCGAAAAACAAACATATGCATGCTCAAGTTTCGTCGAAATCTCTGCTTGTTCTCTATAAAATCTTTAAAAATCGATTGTAGAAAAGACGACTATATCAAAGAAAGGAATGGAGGTTTTGGACAGTACAGATAACTAAAACATTGAAGAATTATGGCAATTTTAAAACGAAAAAGCGTCCGTCAGATTTCATTGAGATTTTCATGAGCAAAACATACAAGCGAAAAACAACTGACTAGTGAGATAACGATGTTATTTTAAAAGAATTTCCTCAAAGAACAGAAAAAATCCAAAAGACAACTTATTCACATGTATTCAAGAAGAATTTTAAAATGGTAAGAACAGATGAAACAGTAAAGAAAGTGCAAATTAACTGACAAGAATTTTAAGCGAATTGTAAACATGGCACGGCTTTGAATGATCTGACAACAAAATATTTGTAAATAAATCCGTTCAGTTTATCACTTATTAATTACAAAAGTGATCGCAAGAACTGATGAGAAGGGAATAAAATCTTGGAAAGAGAGTTTTGAGCGTAATAATAGAGACAAAAAGCTATAGAAATAGAGCAAGTTTAAGTTTATATGCCCGTTAAGACATCGAGTCGAGTTCGCAAAGATGAATGAAAACAGTGCCCCCGGTTGACCATCGTTTTAATCAGTAAAGTTTTCAGCGTCATGCTTTGTTTTCAATATTATACCACGCGCCTTATSGGCTATCTATTGACTCATAGAAAACTCGACCTCGTAGTCTAATTGTTAAATATATATATTACTTAATAGAGGGTCGGTGTCCACTGGTAGAACGAAGCTTGGGATTGGACAAAATAACAAAAACAAAGAAAGCATGGATTATGGTGAACAATGTGTATTGTTCTACATGTGAGGTGTGTTMTTTGTTTTATCTCACCTTTCCTGATTGTTTGTTCATCCACTCCCAGGCTTCGTTTTGCCGGTTGTGGATTACCCTATCATAGAAAGTGCGGCGTGCGGCGTTTTCCTCTTTTGCGTAGGCCTAGGGGCTATATTCATGAGTTGTTTAAGTAAGTGCTTTTACACAAACAAGAAGYGAATATAATCCCGCACAAAGCACTTTCTATGAGGTTTTCTCTTTATAGTGCCTATATTCTCGGAGATATAACACCCTGAAGTACGCAGTTTTGCCACGCCCCATCGATTTGGACGGGATAAAGGGAAACTGGGACCAAGCAGAGTCTCGCTGAGTGGTGATGTCACAACAAGAACGAATGTTTTGATAAGCAAAGATTCTTACTAGTTCTTCGGTCAGAATATGAGAAAATGCCGACTAAATGTGTTGTTGCTGGGTGCTCAAACACCCCAGATTTTACGAAAGGTATATACTTGCATTAGAAGCCGAGTCGTTCTCGTTGTGACGTCATTCGACGCCAACTAGGTACCAGACCTCACGTTCCCGTCCAAATCGTGGCAAAATTGCGTACTTCAGAGCATTATATCTCCTAGAATATTTAGTCAATCGAAATTTTTTTTGTTTATTCATCTCCAACACACAGAAAATCAAAATTGATCATAATCCTATAAAAGTTATAGGCACTTTATCATATATATTACTAGAATTCACATATAAATGCGGCTTGTTTTCTTAAAGAAATAGACATTTCCAAGAAGTCTTCTCTTTATTATCTAAGCTTATGAGCTTCAGTATTACTAGAATTCACATACACTCAGTTGAAGAATCGTTGTCGGGCTCAGAAACATAGAACATAGAAGCCGAGACCGAAATGGCACATGGGAGGTACGTTAATTAGATGCATGCTGTGACCGGAGTCCTGTGGCATCATCCACTGTTTTTAATTATACACGTTTGACATTCTTAACCGACTGCATGGATGGCGCAAATGAATAAATTATAATATAATTATGTCATTTCCCATGTGCCATTTCGATCTCAGCTTCTATGTTCTATGTTTCTGAACCCGACAACGATTGTTCAATTGAGTGTATAAATGCTTGTTTTCTTTAATGAATTGAAGACACATTTTGTCGAATCTTTACATACTTAGCCTTTCATTATATTGTGGTAGGGTAATCTTTCTTTTTCAAGTATCGGTCAAAATATAGAATATAGATATAAATAACCTTAAAGTCGGCGGTTCGTATTCATCTCTATCTTTCTTCCTGACTTCAACGATGAAGGCAGAAAGCAGCTCGTACAACTCTTTTGGCTCTATTTCTTTTGGTTTTCGGTTATTCAGTCAACAAAGATAGGTCTCTTTTAGTCTTATTWGATGTATTTTTTGTTTTCTTGGTTCTGAATAAATTCCATCATTGGATATTGAAGTGACAAAGAATAACACGTCATTCTGTTGACTATACAAAGCTACAAAAATACGCAAACTTGCTTTTGGCGGGAAGCCATCCAAATGTCATCAAAAGTATATCAAAAATTATGGGATATAATCCCTGATTTTTTTTTGAGTTGTTTATCACAAGGGCTTTCTGACAAAAATATCAGGGAGGAAATCCCATAAYTTTTGATATGCTTTTGATGCCCTCGTATATATATGAAAGGGTCAAAGTTTATGCATTTCAATATAGCACTTCTAAGCCGGCTTSTTTAACAAATAAAATACATTTACTGTGTTTGCACAGGCTAATGCAAACCTCGATGTGGCTGAGAGAATTCTCGAGCAGGTGCAAACGCTCGCCTACGGCTCGTGTTTGCACTGATCTGCTCTCGGATTCTCTCAACCACAACTCGGTTTGCATTAGCGTGTGCAAACACAGTAAATTTATTTTATTTGTTTTATAAAATTATTTTCTTCAAAAACAAAAATAACGAAACACGATCAAATAAAACAGAAGAATTTAGTTCAAAGTTTTAAATACATAATTCTCCTTACATACTTGTGCATTTGCAATAACCAATCAGATTGAGCGAAAGAAGACCCTTAACCAATCAAAAGCGTCCAAGCATGAAATTGAAGTTGAAAATTTCTTATTTCAAAGCGAGAAGCCAAACTTTAACGACTTTCTCCCTTGAGAAAGAGGCTTTTACAAGCAAATCTTGATAAAATAATAATTCCAAAGCTTAACCGATGGCTTTAGTCATTCTAGACCGGAAGGAAAACACTATTTTGAGAACCAGAACTCGCTAAATTAAACCTTGATTTCCGTCGGTGTTGTCGAAAGAGTTCGTCGAAATTCTCCGAGTTCAGGCTGGCAAATCTGGATTTTTTCTTTTTTGTTGAAGGCTTTTCTGGTGGTTCTACTATTTCAGATGCTTCCTCAGAAAGTCAAAGTCTAAGCTTGGAAAATTAGCCATATTCTTCTAATTTTACTGGAGTTATGACTATCTGTGTAAAAGTACAACTTACAAACAAAACTCAAATTTCCCCGCAGGTGTCGACACGCGTCACAACCGTGTTTGCACGGGGAAATGCAAACACGGCTCTCAGCCAATCACAGCACGTGCACTATCTGAATTGTTTTATAATCTATTTTATGATATAGCTTAGATAGTACGCGCGCTCTGATTGGCTGAAAACCTACTGCCGGTAAAGACATGGTTTTTGATTGACAGCCCACAATTGAAAGTTTCTCTACTATAAGAAATCTGCACAAAATGGGCGATTTCTGTTTTTCAAGACTAGTTTTAATCATTTGTAGTAAATTTTCATTTAATAAAGTTTTAGTTTTTCAGATAAAAAGACATAAAGGACACAAAACATGCCTGTAAAAAACTCTTTCAGTTGTTGAAATTCGACATTTTTTCTTGTTTGAAACACGCTTGAACAATGTTGAGACTTATTATAAACTTTTAAGCATAACGACAAAAACTTTCTATCGAATATAAGGCAAACACACACATTTYCCTACTAGAATGATTTTCTGAAACGGATATGGAAGTAAAMGTCGAGGAAATACCTTGCAAAAGGCTAGAGCAAGTTTTGCGAAAAGATTTTTCGCCGAGGCCACCTACAGCCAGTTTAGGTCGAAAGCGGCGAAAACTATGGCCAGAAAACAGTCTCGTTTCACTTAGGAATAGAACAAAAAGGTTCCTAAACAGTCCATCAAATAGCAAAGCTATAAAACTTACCCAAGATATAAGGTTTGCTTTGATGTAGCTATGGAAAACAGGTTAAAAACAAATCCGACAAAACACGATGTTGTTGAGCTTGCAAGATCCAAAAATGTGCACATCATGTACAAATCTCACGGAAATGTCACTTGTTCTTGAATATCTAGTCGGATTTTCCAAACCTTTTCGTAGAATCTTTATGTTTACATCCTTTTCATGAATTTTTTCAAGACATTTTCGTGAAAACTAATTTGTCAGACTCGTCTTTCCAGTGAATGAGAAAAGGTACGATGAATGTGATTCGCTAATTTGCTAAAATGTGGAGAATTGAAAATTTGATCAGACGATGAAACGACTAATAATCTTAAAATATCTTCTGCTATATCATAAAAGCGATAGATACTAAGTTCTTATGACTCTACCGGTGAAATATGAAATAGAGCACGCGGGATGTTGGGATATATAAACACTCGAAAAAGTTCAAAAAGTTTTGAACTTTTCTTGTGTTTATCCCAACATCCCGCGTGCTCTATTTCATATTTCACCGGTAGAGTCATAGAACTTAGTCTCTATTGCTTAATCAAAACAATCTTTGTTAAATATCATTTATTTAATTTACCAACCTGCATATTATACCATTAGAATGTAGGTGTGCCAAGGCCAAGATGATTTCTGCCATCCAAACGCGAACATACGATTCTATTGATTTTTGACTTGGCGAACTAAAGTACTCATCCAGCAAAGCGAAAGTTGAAGGTTTTTTACAAGATCCAGAAATATTTTCTCCGTATTTTTTATCAAGGGAAAAACTGTCACTTTCTTGCCACATCTTTAAATCCTCTTTCTTCTGACAACGAATCGTTGATCGTTCAGTATCAGCATAAGCTGTGCCATTAGAACCTTCTTTTTCTTGCTTTGAACCAACTAAAATTATATTTGCTTTTTGGTTGTCTCTTGCGTAGTTACTTGAGTGACAGGGATTTATAATTCCTTTATTCACTTTTGTGTCTCTTAGGTTGTGAAGATAACACTGACGTTTGCTAGTCACGCTGCTTCGTTGCTGCTGCCTTCTCTTTAAGGGTGTTAAGTAATCACATAGCAGTCCTCCGCGGGCATGTTGGAGCAGAAGAAATACAGCCGTTGGAGTCTCGCAGTGCAGATGTAATTTTACGGTAAAAGGACATTGTGCCTGCAAGGAAAGGAAAATTAGTTAAACTGAAACTTCCCAGAGCCGGAAAAAACTGACAAACTGACAAACAAAAGAGACATATCAAGGAAAGTAACCCTAGAGATGCATATATATGTACTATATATGTGGGGATTCTTGAGTGTTTTCTTGAGTGTAGCATAAGAATGTAGGACTTCGTAATTCTACAGTGTAGCTTGTGAATGTATCGTACATTGATCGCCACCAGGAGATTGTATTGTTTAAAATTTCTAAACTGGCATTCTTGGCTATTTGAAGAAATTATTAAGTAAGGATTTTGAGATTAATAATATAAGAAACGATTGGTAGACCTACCAATTTAAATGTGACTTTGCGATGCAGGTTATATCGGTTACACTAAGCGCCATTTACATGAGCGCATAGAAGAAAATACCCTTGGGAAAATTTTGTTACTTAASGTATACTTGAACAATACTTAATGCGTATTTATTTGACTTAATGTGTATCTGAACAGGTATCTAACTTGTATTTYAACAACTTTGTTAAATCCACCTTTTATTTGATATGTATCTATACAGGGATTAAAATGTATTTATACACAAAAAAAAGGAACTCAGTTGTTCAACCTCAAGTTAAGTAGAGTATTTTTAAGCTACTTGATCTGTACTTAACTACTGCTTTTTCAATAATTACACTTTAAGTAGTGTACTTAATGTATATTTGAACATCCCCTCTCCCTATTTGAATTAAAGTAGTACTTAAGTAGAGTATTTGATAAGTATTTGTGCCGTACTTAACAACTACTATATTATCAAATACATATCAAGTATATGAGGTTAATCCGTATTTATACACCCTATCTCCCCATTCGAATTAAAGTAGTACTTAATTAGGGTATTTGATAGGTATTTGTGCCGTACTTAACAACTACTATATTATCAAATACATATCAAGTATATGAGGTTAATCCGTATTTATACACCCT